GAGTTCAGCTGTTTTTTTCTATTATTAGATACCTTTGTATTCCTGTGGTAAATCCCACTTAGTCATGATATACATACATACATTCATACATACATACATACATACATACATACACACATACATACATATATGACATATTTCTGGATTCAATTGCCTAATATTTTGTTAAGGATTTTGCATCTATGTTCAATTGAAGATAGTAGTCTATAGTTTTGTTTTCTTGTAATACCTTTGTCATGATTTGATACAAGGGTTACAGTGGCCTCATAAAATGAGTTGGATAGTGTTCCCTCCTCCTCTGTTTATCTGAAAGAGTTTGGTACAATTTGTTATTTCTTCTTTAAATATTTGCTGGAAATCACCAGTGAAGCTATCTGGGCCTGGAATTTTCTTTGCAGAAGGTTTTTCATTACAGTTGTAATTTCTTTATTATGTGTAGAGTTCTTCACATTCTATTTTTTCTTGTGTCTATTTTAATAACGTGTTTTCTTCAGGAAGCTTGGCCATTTTATCTAAACTTTCGAATTTATTTATATAAAGTTATGTATAATATCCTATTATTGTCTTTTTAATATCTGAAGGATCTCTTTTATTCTCGATATTTGTAGATTACGTTTTCTTTATATATTTTTTAAATCAGGCTTGTTAATGGGTTATCTTTTCAAAAAACTTTAATTTTAATTTTTTATATTATATGTCCACTTTCTTTTTATGTTGACTTATTCGCTCATGTCTGTGATTTTCTCATTTACTTTAAGTTTAATTTGCTGCTCTTTTCCTAGCTTTTTGAAATAGAAGATTAGATCATTGATATGTAATCTTCGTTCTCTTTTAATATAAGCATTTAGAGCTATAGATTTCCTTCTGAGTATTGTTTTAGCTAAATCTTACACATTTGGATATGTCATTTTTTATGAATTTTAAGTTACAAAAATTTTGTTTTAATTTATTTGATTTATGAGTTATTTACAAGCATATGTCACTTAATTGCTTAGCATTTTGGGGGTTTCTCTAGTTAATTTTATGTTGTCAATTTCTATTTAAATTCCACTGGGATTAGAAAACATATTCTATATTATTTCAGTTCCTTGAAACTTAGGATTTCTTTTTTGAACCATATATTCCATAACATTTGAAAAGAATGCGTATTCTACATTTATTGGATGTAGTGTCCTGTATGTGTCAGTTAGGTTGATTGGTTTTTAGTTATTTATGTTATTAGTTAGTTAATTGTGTTATTCAAATCTTCTATCCTTAGAAGTTGATTTTTTACAACTTCTTGACCTATCGATTATGGAGAGATGTTAAAAATCTCCAACTTATAATTGCGTAATTGTCTAATTCTCCTTTTTATTCTTTAAACTTTTTCTTTACATATTTTGTGTTATTAGGTACATAGAAATTGAAGGTTATTATAGATCCCTTTTGCATTCATTGACTACAGTCATATGCCTCATATGATTTTTCAGTCAACAGTGGACCGCGTATCTGATTATAATGGAGCTGAAAACTCCTATTGCCTAGTGATGTCATAGCCATCGTAACATCGTAGCACAGCACATTACTCACATAATGTTCACGTTTAGATGGGTTTAGATACACTGATACTTACCATTGTTTTACAGCTGCCTGCAGCAGTCAGTAGGGTAATATGCTGTACAAGTTTGTAGCCTAGGAGCAGTAGGCTATATCATCTAGATTTGTGTAAGTATACTCTATCATATTTGCACAATGATGGAATTTCCTAACGACACATTTCTCAGAACATATCCCTGTTGTTCATTGGCACATGACTGTATTTCGTCTTGATGAAATGTCCCTTTTTAGGCTAGTCATACTCCTTTTCTAAAAACTGCTTTGGCTGATACTACTATAACCACAAGATCTCTCTTTCAGTTAATGTTTACAGGATATATATTTTTCCATCTGTTTGTTTTTGTCTTCTTATGTCATTATATTTCCAGTATCCTTATAAACAGATATAATTGGGACCTAGGGTTTTTCTGGTCTGGTGTGTTAATTTTTTCCTATTAATTGTTTTACTGAATCCACTTGTGTTTAGTGTAACTATTTGTATTTAAGTCTACTATTTTGAATTTTGCCATTTGTTTTTGTCTGAGTTCTTCCTCATGTCTTTATTCTTTTTTCTTGCTTTCTTTTGGATTAATCAAGAATGTGTTATTGTTCCATTTTTCTCTCCTTAGCTTTTAGCAATACATTCTTGTATAATTCTTTGATTCGTTACCCTATATAAATAGGCATCCTAGATTTATTAAAGTCTACCTTAAATAAGCTCTCTAACCACTCCCCAAATAATGGTAAATTCTTAACAAAGTTTGACTCCATTTACTGCCCCCTCCCACTTTCATCTTTCGTGCTATTGGTTTCATGTAATTTACTAATACATATATTATAAACCCCAAAAGCTATTTTTTTAATTCTTGTTCTAAATATTCAATACTTGTTTGTATTTTCCCACATATTTACCCTTTCTTATGCTGTTCATTCCTTCCTACAGATCCATCCTTCCATGTGGGATTACTTTCCTTCAGCTTGAAGAACTTCCTTTTTATTTCCTGTAGTTTAGGTCTGCTGGTGACAAATTCTCTCAACTTTGATTTATCTGGAAATATTAATACACCTTTGTTTTTGAAATCTATTTTCACTGGGTAAAAACTCTAGGTTGGATGTTTGTATATATCTTTTATCTTTAAATGACTAAAATATATAAACGGGCAACCTAGAGTTCTATACGCAATGAACATATCTCTATTCCTTAGATATGGGCCCTCTTGGGCTCATGATTGAGAACTTAATAGGTCTCCATCTCCTCAGCCTAAAAAACTGTAAGAGATTGTCCTACCTTTGAGAGATTCAGGGCTTAGTTCTTTGACCTCACTTTTCTTAAAATTTCAAAATATAATATTTATCTTGAAGAGTCGATCAGCTATTTGTTTGAGGTAGACCTCCTCCTTCTAGTGGGACCTTGTCTCCTAAAACCACAAGATCATGGGAGATTTCATTCTTCCTTTTAAAAGTTCTCAGCCTTGCTTTGCAGCTCGAGTGTGCATGCTTAGAACTCAGCAAATATCCCATGGGGAAAATTGGCCACATACATGGAGCTCCTCAAGTTCCATTCTGTCACTACAACCTCTTCTGTTTCTCTTTCCTCCAGTAGAGTCCCTCTGAACTGGCCAAGCCTAATCCTTAATTCATGCTGCAAATTGGCAAATGCCCTCAGGAAAGAAAACAGTCAGCTATCTCAGAAGCCCATCCCACCCAGGTCTGGAATTCCAGTTCATCTAATTCTCTTGTTTTCTACAACACTGCAATGTTTTTTACAGTCATTTATCTGACTTTTTCTAGTTGTTGCATTAGCAACATTGCACTGCCATAATCTATTATGTTCTATTATGTTCCACCTGGAGTATAAGAAGCATTACCTTTGACCTGCCTACTAAAATTAGGTTTCTTCAATCTAGTCTCCCCAGTTCTACTCCTTTCCTGCTCCCTCCCAGAGGAGCCAGAATGTTTTTATTAAGTATATCTTACCACTCCCATTTTTAAAACCCTCCAATGGCTTCCTTTAATAGTTAAAATAAGTTCAGGTTCATTTTCACATTGTGCAAAGTCCTATATGATCATATCACTACTCCCTTTCTAATCTAATCCTCTTCCACCTTCCCCTTTGCTCACTCAGTTCCATCTATACTGATCTCCTTTCCATTTCTGAAACATGTTAACATATTCCCATTGCAGAATCTTTGCACTTATTATATACCTGCTACTTGGAAGGGCTTAGTTCTTTGACCTCTCAGATCTTCATAAGGCTGTGACTTTATTTCATTTGGGAGCTCTGTGCCAATGTCACCTCTTCAAATAGGGCTTTCCTCATCCTCCTATCTACTTATCTTGCTTTAGGTTTAATCACAGCATTTACCTAACATTATATTGTATATTTATTTGTATATTTTCTGTCTCCCCTTAGAAAATAAGGTCCTCCAGAGTAGAAACTATGTCTGTTTTGTTCACTGTTCTATCCCCAGGGCTTAGAACAGTATATAACTTATAGTAAGTACTCAATAACTATTTATGGAATGAATTAGATATCCCTTACCTTGAAAATTTCTCAGTTTAAGGAGAAGGTGAATGATTGGAGTAAAATTGAAAGTAGTCTAACATAGGTGTCTACAGAATGCTTTGGGGGAGAGTATAGTAAGACAAGGCTTAAGTAAAGAGGTGTCCCTGGAGCTGAGTCTTGAAAACTGAGTATTGATGTATATCTGACCAAGAAGAATAGAGAACTCAACATACCTGAATGACATGGTGTTCAGAAAAGAGTGGGTCTAGAACATGGGGGCAGGTGACAGGAAATGAATTCAGCCATACTAGAGAACAAGGCAGGGGCAAAGTCACAAATGTCCTTGGGTATCAGGATAAAGAATTTGAACTACCTTAAAGGTAACATGGAGCAAAGATTTTTAAGGTGAGGAGAGATACTATCAGATGTATGTATATCCACATATTTCACTACTCACTGCAATAATCACACTAAAACCTAAGTAGATTGATGTAGAAAATCCCTGACTTGGTTGAAGGGCCTAGTTTCAAAACAGAAGTCCTCATCCCGACATCCATAACCTAAGGACACCCTCATTTACTGTTCTGAGCCTCAGATCTTTATTCTTAGCGGGAAAGGATTGTAGGCTTCTAAGAGTCATTCCATCTCTGAGCCTATGGTTCTGTTTATATGCCTTAGAGAGAAAAAATATATATATATTTTCTGCATCTGCCAGAAATAATGAAAACTTCCAATTTTAGCCAATCTAAATTCAATTCTCCTCTGAGATTTTCTAACATTTAGGTCAGATGCCAGGAAACTAGCTTCTTGAGATAAAAAACCCAAGTAGAAGTAGGAAATCTTTTTTTTTTTTATTATTCTGGCTGGGATGGGAATATAGATGGGAAGAAGAGTGATAGAATGAGTCTTTTTCTTGCAGTTGTGATTCCAAAGAGTCCCTATCCTGCATCCGATGTGAACACTGAGAAGCCCAGCCTCCACAGCAGCACCAAAACTGTCTTGGAGCATCAACCAGGGCAGAGGGGGCGTAAACCAGGAAAGAAGCGGGGCCGGACACCCAAGCCCCTAATTCCCCATCCCATCTCTACCCCATCCAAGTCAGCTGAACCTTTGAAATTCCCAAAGAAGAGGGGTCCCAAACCTGGCAGTAAGGTAGGTAAAAATGTGGGTTTCCCAGAAAGGGATAAAGGGTTTTAAAGGGGTAACTCATCCATATCCATCCATCTTGGAAAGGGGCATGTCTAGCCCTATTCTCTACCTTGTGTATGCTTTTAAGAGGAATCTCCTAGATTGTCATCCCTACTTAGCTACTTATGTGGAAGTTGATAATATTAAACATAGGATTTTGACTTTGAAAATTACTCACATGCAAGGGAATTCTGGTCTAATGTCTTCCATAGATGGAATTGTTAACCTACCCAGAGTAGATACCCGGGCATGTGAACAGAAAGAGCAAATTGACTCTGTAAATGTATTTCTTTTTCTATTCCTGCCCTTTTTAAAATATATATATATATTGAATACCTACTAAATATCAGGCTCTGTATCAGACACCATTACGTACATATCATATAATCTTCACAAAACTCTAGGAGATGAGTAGTATTAATGTTATTTAATAGTTAAGTAAATTGAGACTTAGAAATATGAATTGACTTCCCTAAGGTCACATAGCTAATAAACAGCAAAGGCTACAGAGATTGGGTCCCCAGATCTTCTAGTGTCAAGGCTAGCGCTGCCTTACCGCATATTCATTCTCTCATGTTTCTTGCGGGAATCAATACTTACCTCTAATGTAGGAAAAAACTGCTGAGTCAGGGTTCACTGAGCACTTCCTGAAAGTACAGTTGTGACCAGTTCTTCATGGCTATCTTACCCTGTTGAGATTGCTCTGCATTTCCCTCCTAAGCCATACTGAGTTCCAATGTGGAGATAATACCTAGTTCTCCCTGGGCATTCCATTCCAATCTCAAGTTGGTTTGGTTTTGTTTATCAGCTCCAGCCAACTTCAGTCCTAGAATATAAGCTCTTCAAGGTTGAGAACTAATCTTTTTCTTCTCTTTTTCTCCTGCAGTGCCTTATATCTCAGTCTCTTGGGAGATGTTCGGTATATGCAAGGTGGATGGATGGATGGTTTTAGTGATGATGTTCCAATTGAGATTGTCTCTTATTTATTGACTTAGAATTCTTGATGTCACATCCTGATCTTTGTGTGTAACACATAATGCTCCTGACATGCTACCACTAACCCCTAACCCAGGTCTTCAGTTTTGTCTCCATTACTCTCTTCTCATTCTCATGTGATAGAGGAGACTACTAAAGTCCCTAAGATTCCAAGGCCATAGAAGCTATGCTTTGATGATATGAAGGCATCTTGAGGACAGTCAGATTAAAGAGGGAGAACACTTGTCTGTGAGGTTCCAAAGACAGAAGTAGAAACAATAAGCAGAAACTCAAGCAGAATGCTTTGTCTCAACATAAAAGGAGCAGTTAAATCTATCCCCAAATGGAAGTAGTGATCTCCCATCACTAGAGGTATTTCATCAGGAACTGGATGACTGTATGGGAGGAACGTTTTCAGGGACAGGGAAGTAGAAGTATTGGATGGATGGTTGGAATAAATAGACTTTAAGATCCTTCAAAACCTAAGAGCTACGATACTGTAATCGCCTCTGCTGTGCTTCCTTAGGCAGTGCTAAACATAGTAGCCAAAGTCCTCTTTCCTTCCAACACTCTTGAAAACAATAATTCTCATCTTATCCTGTACTGTATGGCCTGGCATTTGACTCTTTAATTTCCCTTCCTGTCCTTTTTGCCTATTTCTATAAGTGTATATCCCTTCCACTTAACCCATGACCTTTATATTCCTTTTTAAAGCAAAGTCGTCTTGTGACTAGAACATAGGCTTTGAAGCCAGACATACTTAGGTTTATATCTCATTTCCACCTGAGTGACTTTGAGAATTCTTCTATAAGTGAGGCTGTGGGCTCTAGTTTTCCCACCAATAAAATGGAGATGAGGTAATATCTGAGTAGATGCAATATATGTAATTGCACCTATGTCAACTAATAATAATGTGTTTCATCTTTCTGCTTTCTTCTACAATATTTGGGCACCTTACTTACCAGAGTTGTTCTTTCAAGGACCCTATGAAATCCTACCAACAACTCAGTAAAATTGAACTGATATTCCTTTCTTCCCTAAATGCTTATTTGGATTTTTACTTTTAGTAATATCAAAAAATATGAGGAGATGTCTATGTCCCTTTTGTGATTTGCACATTTTCATAAGTATTTTCAGTACTTTCACAGGCAAGGCTATCTTATAATTTATGCTTGCTGTCATTGTGCTATCTCTTTAGATAATACATTCCTATAAAGTAAACAGGTTTATACAGCTCCCAGCAATATACCCTGTGTGACATTTAGTAGACGAGGATTTGTGTACCTCAGTGACAACTGTTTTCCTTACATTCAGAAAGGCTTTTAGAAAACCTTATCTTAGAAAGAACCTTCTGAGATCTTTGTCTCCCAGAGACTGCCCTGACCAGCATAGAGGAGATACTAGATGTCTCAAATCATTTTTATTATTTCTCCCATTATTAGATTTCTATACTGTATGCTTTGTTGAAAAAGATTTATTGAGACATGCCAAGTGCCATGCTAGGAATGGTACTCAGAAGCAGACTCTCAAGGAGTTCCAGGCTAATAGTGTACACCAATATATAAATATATAATGACAATACGTTGTGACAAATGCAACAATACAAAGTACAGAAATAGCACAAAAACAATAACTAGAGAAAATCTAGAAATGCTTCTTGAATAAACTGATATTTTTAAGATAAAAAAAGAAAGGGCATTTCAGTCAGAGGGATGGTTTATTATGGTAAAAGTGTGGACCACGTAAAACTGCAAGGTTTTTAGAGAAGTGATATAGTTAGAGATTACTAGATTATAAGGTTAAGTATAATAAATGGCAGGTAATGAGCTGAAGAGGTAGGCAGAGGAAAGTAGTTTATGAGTTGGGGAAGGTTCATTTCTATTTTTCAAGAGAGAGAAAAAGTACAAAGTAATAACGAAGTCAAACCACAGCATTTTTTCCTTTTTTGCTTTTGTCTGCCCAACTAATAAAGAACTTCAAATCATAATGTTGCTTCTAGTATGAAAAAACAGTGAATTAAGCTCTGGCTTTACAGAAGCCCAGAATCTTATACGTAGACTCAGAAAATACTTACTAAGCATCTACTGTATATACAGCTTTGGGCAAGATGACTACTGGAAAACAGATAAAACACAGCCCTATCTACAGATATATTTCAGTTTCATGGATGAATTAAGTGCTAGAAATAGAAGACTAAGAAGACAAGTTACCTATCATGGGTAGCAAACTTTTCCCCATCCGTTTTGACAGAGGAAACCTCGGACTTTGCTGAACCCACCACCCACCTCACCAACAACCAGCACCCCTGAACCGGACACCAGCACTGTACCCCAAGATGCTGCCACCATCCCCAGCTCAGCCATGCAGGCCCCCACAGGTAAGAGCAAATCATAGTGCTAGCTATAAAAAGCCCCAGGCCCAAGTGTCTGTACTTTCTCTTGTCTTGCACCAATAATTAGCCCTCTGTACATTATAAACATAAATAGGATCTTTTTTTAAAAAATGTCCCTTTGGCATTAGATATAGTTTCAGAGAAACCTCCATCCTGTCAAAACAATCAAAGAAACTTGGGTAAATATTCTGTGAACTCAGAGTTGAGGAGCTGGTACATGAGAGTGGGGTAGTGGTGGGGCCACCACCAGGAGCTCCCTGGCCCAGATTGTAATAATACTTACTTTTTCCAGTTCAGGGTGTTCCATTCTTAGCATGATCCCGTCCAGAACCCTCCCAGCATTACAATATTCTGCCACCATTCAAATATATATGAACCTGCTCTGATTTTTTTTTTTTTTTAACATCAGTGATGGTGGCAAACTTGATACTATGAGAGTGAACTTTTGGAGATGAATCAATTAATGTTTTATTCAAAGCAAAATCTGGTAGCTGAAATGGTTGTTTAATCACCCTAGGTTATTCATAACTCTTATTCCCTAAACTATCTATGAAGGTAACTAAAAGAGATGCTCCTTTAGAGTAGATACATAGCTTCCCAACGGGGTATCTATAAAGAAAAATATTCATTTTCTTATGTGTAAATTAAGATCCATGTGTACAACTTTACTCTTTTATTCTGCAGATACTTTGTCTTCTTTAGGGAAGTCTAATCAATTGGAGTATCCCCATGGAAATTAGGGTAGTCTTGTCTTTGAGGGAGTTGAGTATATCTCTGCCCATATCCTAGAATTTTAGAGCTTAAAGGGAAGGCCAGCCATAGTTTCCCCTCCAAATAACCTTTGGAATACAACAGAGCCAGCCTGTGGCATTTATGTCCAGTTCTCATCAGGGTCCTATCATACGATTTCTCCAAACATATCATCTGCCTCTAACCATGGTCAATTACTGGGTTTGTTTAGTCCAAGTGTCATTAGATTAATGACCAGTGGCCTTTGTGCCTAAGCGCCAAGAATGAGGAAGTAAGGACAAACACACACTATGGTGAAAATATTGATTATGTTTTCAAATCTCATGACATGACCCCTAGATGCCCAGATGCTTGGTTTACCCCACATCATACTAGATACCACTTAGATGCCTATGTGCCTTTTCAACAATACCTAGAAGATCCACAGCAATGGGAGCTTCATGACTATGCCTCACTATTACATTTAAATGATGCCGACCAACTCTTCTGGCAGCCTCTGAGCTGGCATCCCTTCCTTGGCCTGCTTCTCACAGCCTAGGAAAAATGGAATCTTTGTGTCCATTTCTGTCTCTTGGCCAGGCTATAGCAATTTTTACTGATTACTGTGTCACCATTCCCCAGTGGGACCTTGGCTAGTCACCTTGAAATCATTTCCCTTTCTGAGCCTCAGTTTTCACACTTGTACAATGATAGGATTAGTCCAAGTTACCTTATAGTCCCTTCAAATGTTAACAATAAAAGTTGTCATAGATTAAAAGCTATGTGTCACACTGTATCCTTTATTACTTACCTTCCATTCTTTTAACTATACAACACTTTTTAAGAGTTATTATATGCTCACAGTTTAAAGAAACAATAGGTCTACAAGAATTATTACAAAAACGAAACAAACCACCCTAACTCCTTGTCATTTACTGCTCACCAGAGGAAATCACTTTTAATTCAGCTAATTCTTGTATTTACCTCTGTATATGAAAATGGAATGTTTCTATTGCTATTTCTTTAACTTGAGGCATTTTCCAACCAACAGCCCACTTTAGAAGATGAAGATGTAACACTTTAATCTCCTTGCCCCTTACCCACCCACATGTACTTCTCTATCTTAATTCTGTATCAATACCCTATTATAATTTTGATTAGATTGAAATTCAGTATTTTTGTTATGGCGACTTGTTAAATGCTTTTCTTAATTGAGCCATGTAGTATACTATGATTATTTTTCCTTCGTTGCACAACATTTTGTTTTCAGAGTAAGTCTTGTTGATTTATTATGTATTTATTTTGCTATGTACTTATTAATTCAACCTTAAACTATCTTACTACTGTATACATCTATCTTTGTGTTCAGTTACATTATACATTCTATCTATTTCAAACTCTAAAAGAAATCTTCCTGGAGCCTTCAGAATTCCTTGACATCCTCTTCACCAATCTTTTGTGTTATCCTCAGTTTGCTACTTCCCATGTCTTTGTTTTCTCATGTAAATCTTTCTAAGATTTACATCTTTAGTTTTATACGAAACCTGTTTGTTCTCTTTGAAGCCTCTCTTCATACCCAGTATTCTGAAATTTTACCTAACATGTGAGTATTTTCACCTACTATGCTGGACACTTAGTGTGCCCATTCCATTCTTTAGTTTCTTGAAATTTTCTTAAATTCCTTTATCAATGATTGTCTTCCACTTTTTGTCTGTTAACTCTTTCTGGCATACTTGTTATTCAGATATTGAACTTCTTCATCTCCTCTAATATTCTTAACTCTCTTTATTCTTATTCCTATTTTCTTTGTCTTTTGCTCAACTTTCTTTAAACTTTCCTCAACTATATCTTCCAAACATTGTATTGAGTTTTTTGTTTCTGACATCTTACTTTTAAAAGTATCATTATTTATTACTCTAATGGCATTTTCCAAATGGTATTTGGTAGAAAACCAGTCTTTCAAGATGCTCTGCGTAAAAGGATTTTGCATACATTTAGGAAATTTGGTCGCTTACATACATTTAGGAAATGTTTATATTCTGCTTCCCATTCTTGATATTTGCATCTTCTATGAAGAGCTTTTGTTTTCTAAATTTTTTACTACACAGTTTTTTAGGTTTACAGCAAAATTGAGCAGTAGGTATAGAGATTTCCCATATACCTCTTGCCCCCATATATGCATAGACTTCTCTATTATCAACATCCCCCACCAGAGTGGTACATTTGTTTCAACTGATGAACCTGTATTGAAATATCATTATCACCCAAAGCCCACAGTTTACATTAAGGTTATCTCTTGTTGTACGTTCTGTGAGTTTCAGAAAATGTCTAATGACATGTATTCACCATGATAGGATTAGACGAAATAGTTTAACTGCCCTAAAATTTCTATGTGCTCTTGCCAATTCATCCTTCCCTCTTTCAAACTCCTTGCAACCACTGATCTTTTCACTGTGTCTACAATTTTGCTCTTTCCAGAATGTCGTATAGTTGGAATCATACAGTAGGTAGCCTTTTCGGATTGACCTTTTTCACTTGGTAATATGCATTTAAATTTCCTTTCTGTCTTTTCATAGCTTGATAGCTCATTTCTTTTTAGAGCTGAATAATATACTATTGTCTGGCGATACTACAGTTTATTTATCCATTCACTTACTGAAGGCCATCTTGGTTGCTTCCCAATTTGGGCAATTATAAATTAAGCTGCTATAAACATTTGTGTGCAGGTTTTATGTGGACATAAGTATTCAGTTCCTTTGGTTAAATACCAAGGAATGAGATTGCTGGGTTGTATGGTAAGAGTATGTTTAATTTTGGAAGAAATTGCCCAACTGTCTTCCAAAGTGGCCAAACCATTTTGCATTTCCACAGGCAGTGAATGAGAGTTCCTGTTGCTCCTCTCTAGATTCTTTTTTTTTTTTTCATCTTTTTGCTGTTTAGTTGTTTCAGCACCATTTGTTGAAAAGACTGTGCTCCACTGTATTGCCTTTGCTCTTTTGTCAAAGATCTGTTGACTGTATTTATATGGGACAGTTTCTGGGCTCTGAATTATGTTCCACTGATCTGTTTTCTGTTCTTTTGGCAATACCACACCATCTTAATTGCTGTAGCTTTATGGTAAGTCTTGAAGTGGACTAGTGTCAGTCTTCCAACTTTGTTCTTCAATATGGTGTTAGCTATTCTGGATCTTTTGACACTCCATATAAACTTTAGATCACTTTATTGATAGCCACAAAAAACTTACTGGGAATTTGACTGGAATGGCATTAAATCCATAGATCAAATTGGAAAGAACTGACATCTTGACAATAATGAGTCTTCCTACCATAAACATGAGATATCTCTCCATTAGTTCTTGTTTTAATTTTATTCATCAGTTTTATAGTTTTCCTCATATAAATCTTGTACACATTTTGTTAGATTTATACCTGTTTCATTTTTGGAGGTATTAATGTGGTATTGTGTTTTTAATTTCAAATTAGACTTGTTTATTGCTGTTATATAGAAAAAAGACTGGCTTTTGTATATTAATCTTGTATCTGGCAACCTTGCTATAATTGCTTATTGATTCCAGGAATTTTTTTGTTGATTCTTTCACATTCTCAACATAGACAATTACATCATCTGTAAACAAAGAAAGTTTTATTTCTTCTTTCTCAATCTGTATACCTTTTTTTCCTTGTCTTATTACATTAGTTAGGACTTAACAGATTTATAACGTTGAAAAGTTACGATGAGAGGGGATATCCTTACCTTGTTCCTGATCTTAGTGGGAAAGCTTCTAGTTTCTTCCCATTACACATGATGTTAGCTGTAGGTTTTTTGTGGATCTTCTTTATCAAGTATCAAGTTAAGGAAGTTCCCTTTTATTTCCAGTTAGCTGAGAGTTTTTATCATGTATGGGTCTTGGATTTTTGTCAAATGGTTTTTCTGAATCCATCAATGTTAATGTGATGGATTATATTAATTAATTTTCGAATATTGAACCAGACTTGCATACCTGGGATAGATCCCATTTTGTTTGTAGTGTAAAATTCCTTTTAGATATTGTTGGATTCAATTTGCTGATATTTTTGTTGAGGATTTTTGCATTTTCAAAAGAGATATTGGTCTCTAATTTTCTTGTAATGTCTGTTAACAAAATTTAACTGAGTAAATTTGAAAATCTAATTGGCTTTATGAAATGATTATGAATTGGGCAGCATCTCAGCTAGCAGAGAGATACTCTGGGTGTTATACAAGATGGAAGGCTTTTA